TTCTGTCCGCCAAATGGGTAATCGCAAGGGCGTTGTTTAATTATTCATCCGACAATAATTATTCGAAAACAAATCAAGTGGCTTATTCTATGCAATGATCCGTGAACTTCATTACGCCATCACGAGAATTGTTGTACCAGTACTCACGACGTCATGTATCCGCGAAAGCGCAGAATGATTGACGAGAAATAAACAATAAAAAAAGCTGTCCAGCGAAATGTATAGAGACAAGGTGGGTCACCGATACGGGTGTGTTTAAATTTGAGAACAATGATACCCCATCAAACATAACGATAAATCATACAAAATAAATGTTAATGAAATACTGGTTTATTATAGTGTCAACAATTATTATTTACTATTAGAAAAATTATATTGAACATTTTAATGTATGGCGAACATACTATTATATGATACATAAATATATGTAGAACTTTTGGTGTATTTTTAAAATCGCTTTCCGTGTTATTTTTTTTTCTTCTAAGATATGCTTATCTATAACAATTAAGATAATTTTTATTTGTTTAAAAATTATTTTAAGAAAAAAAATATAGATGTTAAAACACTATTAGTTGTCTAAGAAATCCAAAAATAAAAAAAAGTCAGTTTTCAAACTTTAATCTGAACATAACTTCAAAATTCTATCACAGTTCCTTTAAAAATTATACATATAAATTGAGAAAACAATGGTTGTTAAAATATAAAATATGAGCTGACATTAAATATTATAACTACATATTTATATATTATTGTAATGTTGTAATGTTTAGATGATGTACATTTTACATAATAATACACAAAATACTTTTTATAATATCGTTGATCCTCATACTTATTGAAATCTAAGATAAGGACTTGTATGCAATAAATGATGTACTTAAATGGGTAGAAAATGTAACGTTATCGATATTATATGAATCACGCAATGCCAATAGTCCAAGGATAAAACGATTTTGTACACATTTTACTTAAATGTATATGTATTATGTGTATTATAATATTTGTGTATTTGATGATTTTGTTATACAAATTAAATATATATGAGTTCGAGTATTTTTAATTTAGTGATATTTATTACAGAGTATCCATTTGTTGTGAAATTAATTGTCATACAAATAATTATTTCAATATTTATGTAAAAATAATATAAAAGTAAATTTTCGAGTTTTCATATTTGATTTTATTAATTATTAAAGAATTTATTAAATAAATTTCGTTTCATATTATACTCTTTATGATGAAAAAGAAGGAAATAGTTCAGTTTAATGAAATATATTAATTGTGAAGATAATAATATAAACATGCACATGATGACATGTTAAATACTTAAACGACATCTTCAAATCCTTTTGTAATAAAATAGATGTATTTTGATTCCTTAGCCAGCAAAAATTCGATAAAATTAAAGACTTTCATTACATTGCTTTTAAATCTTAAAATATCTCTTTTGTTTATATTTTATTTTATTAAAAGTTCAAATTCAATGCGTATAGACATTCTGTGCTTCATACCTTTATATGGTTTGTCTAAAAACACGCGGCTACGTGACGGAACTGCGAGATACTTGCCAATTATATAAGGTAATAAACAACATATCGTGCACATGGTATGGAATCGGTACTTTTATTAAGTCAGTAAATACATTTGTGTATACGTTTGTACAGTAAATTATTATTATGTGTATAGATGAGTTCAGCGGGGGTAAATATATTTGTCTATTATCGTGAGGGGGGTGGCGAAAGTGATCGTTATTAAATTGCGTAACCGAGAAAAAGGTTAGATAATATAACTTTTTAAAATTACACATAATTGTTTTTTTTAAATGTACTGATCTAAAACCCTATGAATTCAAATGATTACAATTATGTGAAAACAAGCGGAATGTATAAGGTGGATAAAAATTATATTTTGAAATTCATGAGGCATTTTAAATATATGTTTACTATAGTCGGTGTATTTTTTCTACAACACAATTTTGAGTGAAATAAGTATGATGAATTCTATGAATACAGAATATTAAAAAAAATTATTCTCATTACATATTAATTGCTCAAGTATAATTGTCGAGCTGTAATGAAGTCAAGAGAATAAAATAAAACCAGTGTTTCGTAAAATTAAAAAAATCTGTTGACTTATTGTTATTAAAAAATAATAAAAAATAAAAAAATTAAACATTAAATATTATTTAAATAGCAAATAAAATGGGTACTCATTAGAATTAAAGTTTTGGATATTATTTTGATTTCTTATTTCGGTTACGGCATTGGGCCTACATCGGTTATTAAAAATATTATAATACATATCGCATACTCCACAGAGTGATCACGATGGCTGTATCGCAGGCAAATAATTTAAAAGCACCGAGTGTTATAGTGAAGCGGTTTGGAACTTGAGTGTATTCGTATAGGATTTCGAGGATTTATATCGGGGGAATCCAAATATGTTTGTGATCCCAGTGAAAATATAAGGTCATTGGAAGTAAAATACGTGTGATAAGTAGTTAATAATATTTTCGTAACGTAACTAACATTTAATATATCTGGACCAGTGTGCTTTACGAGCTACGGGTACCGCTTGAACACGTCTTCGCTCAGGTTACATAAAAAAATTTATAAAATGCATCGATTTCGCAGGGCTACGAAATGTTAACGAAAACACTCGGTGCTTTTCAATCTATTGTCCTCGATATAGCGGTATCACGTGGTATCATAATATTCTGGTCGGGGTTGGACCGGCGCCGACCGTCGGGTTCCGGTGTTGCGGTTGCAGCCGAACCGGAAGTCTGGAAAACGGCTTGTACGTGGTAGCCGGTGGCTGCTGAGCCGTGGCGGTTTCGCGGGCGGCGGTGGTCGTTTGCTGCTGCGGCTGACCCGCGGTCGGATTGTCGGTGACGGCCGACGTCTTCAGCTTCTGCAACACGGGACAACAACGTGTTTCGATCAGACTCGGTTTCGGCCGCGTGTTGAACGGGCGACGACGATTGCGCGGCGGGCACGTGTACAGTTCGACCGGGTCGGGTTCGCCGCGTTCACATTGGTCACGTAGGACTATTAGGACGGTTACCGTGCTTTGGTGTGGTTCTCGAGGCGCGCCCTAACGAATATTCCGGTGCACGCCTGCAGTGCCTGTACGCAGGCCCTGATTTACGCAAGTGCAGATGGAGTTGCACTTGCATATGGTCCCCAATTTCTGCCCCCCGCCCCGGTCTCCGTGAGTTGTGGGAAATTGTCTATTTAAATTAATTCCACAAACATTTATTTTGTAAAATGTAATACCAACTGTCAATGTTCGGAGTTCAGTATATTTTTATCATTAAATTGTCAGTTGAATTTTGGCTGTTTTTGTCATTCCACACAGTTCTAATCAGTTACCATCACAAAATACTAAAATAATAATAATAGAAAATTGTTCGAACATCAGAAATATTTGATACCTAATAACTATTTATAGATTTATTTGAGCCCAGTATTTACAGATTTACCCGTCTTTGGTGACGCTATGAGCATTTTGTTCACACAATTACCATTTTTAGAACCACTGGTTTATATTTCATTCGATTTTGGAATTTTATAAGTTTTGAGATAGGTATTTTAACTCTATGTAGATTTTTTCTAGAACATTTTTCCGACTTGGGTGGCCCCCCAAAAAAAAATTGTGCATTTGGCTCTAATTTTATTAAATCAAGCCCTACCTGTACAGCAGACGCGACACGGTACAAAAACAGAGAATAATTACAATAATAATTGTATTAACAATTCGCGATTGTTCGTTGTGCCGACCAGTAGGCTCATATGACGACACACATCAATTGGAAACATGCAAGATGAACGATTCATTTTGCGTGTTTCTTCATTTTGTTTTCGCGCAGAAAACGTAACGCGTACGCGCATAGAATAAACATGTACAGCCACATGTCCGGTGTATGTGCCGTGTCCGAGGTGCAGGGCTTTGGAAACGCGGTGCTGTGGTGCGTGACCGACAGACCGTAAGTTATATCCTTTCTAATTCGAACGTTTTTGGGTGTTATTCACGTGTTCAGGTGATTTTCGAATTTTCGGACTTATATTCCAACGCGAGATTTATGGAATCTGATAAATTCTATGCGTTTACGTATCACGCGATTTTTGCGATTTCCGGACAGTTTTAGCTGCTGGCGCATCTGGAAATCGACGGATTCGAGTATTGTAGTATACCGTTATCTATTTCGTCTGCAAGCCGGGTTGTCGGTCACGTTTCGTACTGAAATATATTTTTTTCAAAACCGTTTTTTATTACTTTTATCTCCTATCCTTGCCAAGTTAAATGTTTATGACGCCAAAATAACAAACGTACATACTCGTATAATAATATTATAATACTAAGCTAACACGTGAAGTCGAAATTTATTTCCGTTTGAAAACCTGTTGTATATTTTTTTTATATATATATTCATGTATACCATATGTATTGCTACTTTCAACTCTTCATTTAGGAAACAGCATACAGCATCCCGATAAAGATTTTGTTAAACTTATTAACACGAGGATATTATTATTGTTTTTAGATTACACGTTAGAAGAATGTTTAAGGTTGATTTTTTTTTTGTTTTTACTCAAAAATCGCCAAACGTATCATTATATTTTCAAACACAATTTGTATGTTTAGAAACCATATCTTGAAAAATTAATTATGATACTTCTCTTAGATAATTTATTCCTATCATTATACCTATACTAATGGAAGATATGCATATTGCATAGATTATGACGTACTCTACCGATATCTGGATAGACTATTACTAACTGTATATGCATGTATATAAAATGCTGTCATCAGTCCACTCCAATTACCTCATAAACAAGCGAGTTCAAATCATTAATGATCAGATATATGTTTGGAGAACAAAACCTTATGAATGTTAACTGAAAACGCTTGAATCTTACTAAACATTTTGCGACAATAAAACTAATAAATGTAAGCACTAAATTGAATAATAATTTAAATGCACAGTAAATACAAACCTGTGGCAGAACACCGAGCATTTTCAGCGATGGTGGCACGCTAAGAACCGATGGAAGGGTCACATGGCCAAAGTCTACGGTGAATGCCTCACACCATACACCAAAATGACCGATATCAAATATGGTCAGATCACCCGGTAACGTGAGTACGATCGTCTTATGGTCATACCGTCGCAAGGGCCCTTCTTTCCCGTTCTCGTCTGCCACTTTAATACCCTGTGGAGTCGGTTTGTCGCCGGCGCCCACCCAAAACTTGGCATCTAAAATCACAATGTTTATATATGTATAACAGTTCAAGTTAACTTTTATTTATATATTATTTGTACAGTGTATGTGTATTTATTATTGTTTTTTTAACTAACTAATACAATTATATATTGCCCATTTTTTTCAATGACAAAAACAACATTTCATAATAAGTTTTTGTACTTGGCAACTGCAGATATGCTTTCGAGCAAAAACATTTGAAAAAACACATTATTTTCTCTTTATTAAGTATTTTACACTTGAAGCGTTTAAGTTAAATATGGAAGTTTTAAATATTCTACATTAAAAGTTATGGAATAGTGATTTTTTGTTCAAAATTATTTAAATTAAAAGTTTTATATGACCGTATCAATTGATAGTACTTTATTCGTTACACCCGCAACTCAAAACTACAAAAATCATTGGAAAATATTTTCTTCCTTTTTTAATTTCTTATTTGAGGTAGCTGGGTTGAAATATGAATTATATCTTCTTTAATAGGTCATATGAGTTTATTCATTAAATCTAAATCATATTATTTAAAGATTTAAATTAAAATAAGTAATTGAATGTACTAATAATATCAAAGTACTCTAGCAGTATAATTTACCTGGTGCTTCTCCATCGTAGGAAAATCCTGGAATCAGCAAAGTCTGAGCATCAACTACTACTATGTTTTCTGAAGAAACTCCATGAATTCCCGACAAACCATCAATTTTTTGAGGTTTTGGATAGTCCAAATTATGAGGAATTTTCACATCACCAAAACTTACCTTTAAAATTGAAAAGAGAAAGAATATATTTCAACAATCGCTTCTAGATCTTTATATCGTATCTAATCATACATTTTTATAATACTCAAGAATGATTAATATACCAGTACGAGTAGTATTTACAGTAACTTAAAAACTTTATAAGCGTTACGCTGTAAATAATTGAATACGAATGATGGGAAATTGAAAGTGTATCATAAAATAACCGTTCTTTAAATACGTAGCACTTAGTAATTGTATAATTATTTTAGAACTAGCCGATGGCGTCGGCCGTCAGAAGGTTAAAGGTAAAACGATTTGTTACATACCTTTCTATGAGTAACAGGATCTGTACTACTCGATGAATGTAAATAAAAAAATAATACATACGTACACACACTGAATGTTAAAAACATTTTAACTTTGTTTATAACTTATCATTTTCTGTATGTATAACGTATGTTATATTGCTGTAATATATAATAAACAACCGGATTGTGTTTTGGTTGTTAAAAACCGAGGAATAGCGAATTAAAAAAAAAAAAAAGTGACCGAGAAAGCCCAATTATGTCCGAAAGTTTTCGAGTTAATTTTTGATTTGGTTTCATTAAGACAACTACTACGAAGATCTTACGTTGAACGTGTTATGTATCTATATATATATATATATATACACACTAACTAACCTAACCGGAGAAAGTGGTCAGGCTCGTCTGCTACCGTTAGATTATACTACGTTTGAATACGCTATTTAAATCGAACGCCACGGATATGTTTTTATCACGATGTAATTCGTACAGACGAATGTGTATTACAAGGTTTCTCTAATAAATGATATACATATGTATATATGTATATTATATCTACATTAGTTTGATACGAATGCGTGCGCGCGCGGATTTGTGCGTATTTGATAACATACATGTATGAGTGCGTGTACGTATATTAGTATGTGTATGTATACACATGCCACTACGGTGTTACAGTTACGAACATTAATGTACATGGTTTGTGCACTGTGTATAGTAAATATACAAATAAAGCTCTTCCCGTTGGTTAGGCGTGTATACGTTTAACTGAGCTGACGTTGCCGAACTCGTTATTTTGCCCGTATATCTATGTATACACTCACCGAGAAGTCTTCGCACCAAACGTAAAACCACTTGATATCGTGCAGTGTCAAACCCTCGGGCAGAGTGATTGTCAAGTGTTCGTTCCTATACCGTTTCAGTGGGTTAGTTCTAGAAAAAAAAAAAAAAAATTTAAAAAAATTAGAGCGTACAAGAAACAAAAAGGGTTTTCACGTGCGTGGAATGTATACATGTATATTTTCAACTCACGATGCTTTCTCGTCACGAATCCTGTAACCGTTGATACCTGGTTGTTTGCCGTTGGAACCGTAAAAATATGCAGCTGAAAATATGTATAGAAGCAATAATTAACTAGACGTTATTAACATGATACATTTTATTGTGATCGTAAATAATTATTAAGGAACAGCATTTTTTTTTCAATTTATGGTCAAGACGGGTAAAATACATTTGGTATCAAATGTTAATTGCATTATTTATCCATCAGTATAATATATTTATACACTATAATGGACTGTACTGTGCTTTCAATGTCTGTCACTCAAATTTGACGGTGAACAAATGTATGTTTCAGTTGAATAAATAATAAAGGAAAATTCAATTTTGTAATTATTTCAATAGTTTGCAGACATTATATAATGTGGAGCTTGTGAATATTATGCAAACTTGTGCACTACTATCATTAATCGTTTATTTGTTGTTTAAAAATTTGTATTTCAATTGTTTAACGTATATATAATAAAAAGGGACAAGTAATATAAACACCATTTTAATAATGCCAAAAACGTATGAACCGAAAGAAAAATATTAGTCGCACATACTTTAAATTTCTTTCTAGTAGGGATAAAAATTGATTTATTTAATTTTTTAAAAAGTGTACAGTATATACAACAATTTAGTACAATGAGCAGATTATTTGAATAAGTACTCGTATAGTAATATGTAGAGCGCGGATTTCTATGCAATCGCATATTTTTTTCCTTTCAACATTTTTGGATTTTTGTCAGTTATCTCCACGAATCATCATAATTTGAAGCTAGTGGTGAAATTTTTTTTTGCATATTTCTGCATATTTCGAGATTATTGCATATTTTTGCATATTTTGGCAAAATTCAAAATTTGTTGTATATTGAAGTGAAAATTTAAAAAAATATGTATAAAATAATATTTTGTCAGGTAGAAAAATTAAAAATAAATTTCATAGTCACTAAATAATAATTTATATATATATTTAGTTATAAAATAAATAATCGATTACGACGTAAACTTAATAGCTCTTGCTGTGTCAGTCGATTATCGACATACCACTTGCTTCAAATATACTCCAATAACTTCGGTTGATATCGAGCGTTCGTTTTCAGTCTTTAAAAATATGTTAACCGATAAATAACACAGCTTCACAGAAGATAAACTTGAAATGCATATGATTATTAATTTTAATAATAAATAAAATTTTAAAAATAAATTAAGTTCAGAAAATTCCTTAAATTTTTTTGTATTAAGTATTCAAATAATTAATTTTTATAAGTTGAATTATAAATTTTAAATAAATAAAAAATTCTTGTATATTTTTTGCATATTTTCATAATTTTGACTGCATATTTTTTTATATATTTTCATGATTTTGACTGCATATTTTTTGCGTATTTTTATGATTTTTACTGCATATTATATGGCATATTTCGATACTTTTAAGTGCATACAAATCCGCGCTCTAGTAATATGTATAATATAAATAACAGAAAAGGAAAAGTCACCTATTGGTAATGACCACTATGGATATTAAAATTTGTCATTACTTCGTTAAAGGACCATGAAACAAAAAAATGATTTTTACTTATTCAATAGATAGTTAATTACTATAACTAACGGTGGTACTAAAATTTGTATACGTCGATTCGTTGAGTCGCTAGAGCTCAAGAGAGATAGGCGCGTGACGTCATAAGATCACACGTCGCGGCGACGGCCTATACTTTTATACAGAAATCGCCGACGCGGCCTAGGTTATTATTTATACATTTTGTTATAAGAACCATTCTGCTATAAATAACTTCGTAGTCACAACAATGAACGGACGAATAAAAATACTCTATTTGGATAGTTATATTTTTATTAAAAATAAAACGTATTCTAAAAAGCTTATTTATGGAAAAGTAGTATAAATAATCATCTCTGGTGGGCTTCGCAAAACTGCAAAGGTGACGGTCAATTATTAGTTGAAAAATTCACGTCTCTACTACATCATATAAAAAATGAACACGAATGGGAAGAAAATGGAGTAATAAAAACGTGCGATCATGATCCATTAACAAACGAAGAAATAAATAATAAATTGTGGTTAAAATCCGATGACGAATCATATTATGCATTAAAAAAAGTTATAACTGCAAAAGATTTTATAAAAGATTTACCACATGCAAAACATTTTGTGCATACTGGCCGTTTGGAATCTTATCATAATGTAAGGTTAAAATATATGCCAAAACGGATACATCTGAAATATAGAGGTATGTACATAAGATCTATTTTGGCTATATTGGACCATAATTACAATACAAATAAACAACTAGTAGGTGATAAAATGGTATACTCAAAACCGTTAGGAAAATATACAATAAAAAATGTATATGAGCGTACTGATACTGATTGGCGAAAACAAATTATGCATGAAGTACTTGATTTAGCTAAAAAAAAACAAACGAATAGCATTATAACAATTCCAGAAGAAATAGAAATTCCCAAGTCTATAGCTCCAATACCAAGACCAAATATTGAAGAAATACGTTCTAAAAGATATTCAAGATTTTCAATTTAATTTTATAATTCTGTTCAAAATGTTTAAATTGTAATTTTTATTTTTTAGTATAATACATATTTATTCATAAATATATATATATATATATATGTAATATTTAAATATATATTTATGTGAAATATCGAAAAAATATTATTTCATTAGCTATTCTAATATTATATTAACTTATAGGAAATAAACATTAATTATGTACATTTAAATTTAATACGACCAAACGTACACCAAATTGTATTAAAACCCACATTCTTATGACTATTGTCTTAATTTGTAATTTTTGTTAAATATAACAAAAAATATAAATAAATAACCTAGGCCGTGTCGGCGATTTTTGTATAAAAGTATAGGCCGCCGCCGCGCCGTGTGATCTTATGACGTCACGCGCCTATCTCTCTTGGGCTCTAGCGCCTCAACAAATCGACATACACAAATTTTAATACCACCGTTGGTTATATTAATTAATTACCTATTAATTGAATCAAAGTCATTTTTTTTTGTTTCATGGTCCTTTAAGTAGAGATGTATGAAATTAAATTTTAAAATATATATTTTTGAATTTTTTTGTGATAAAATTGTATTCTATTGAGTGTATAATATTCATAATTTATCAATAATAAAGAGAATAAATAAATACATTTTAAAAATTCAATTATACTTTGTTTACGAATACGTGTTCAATAGAATTAATTATATAGGTTCAATTTGTTTTTGAAAATTTCTCATAAAAGTCACATCTAAGTTTATTACAAATTAATACCAGGTAAATAATAGACCACTACTAAGTAATAATGATTACCTGGTCCCTCGCCGTCATATACAAAATTTCTGATGTGTAATGTTCTAGCATCCACTGCGTATACATCTCCACCTAAACCGTGATGATAGGATTTAAAAGAGCTCAAGAATTTTCCATAGTATTCTGCACCGCTTGTTAGAGCTGAAATTAAAAAAAATAAATGTTTTATTACAATAATATTTAGTGAATGTACTTTATAGTAAAACTTATGAACAATTATACTTATATTATTATTATTATTATTATTATTATTATTATTATTATTATAATATATTAAGAGGATAAAATTTTTCGTCGTACATAAAGAATTGCTGAAAAAAAAAAGTTGAGTGGAAACTTGATAAATTATTAAAAAAATCGACATAAAATGATTTCCAGAGATATGGAATAAAGCTTTACAAAGTGCTTAAAAGTTATAATCTGAGGTTTTCAGTTTAGCACATTATTTTTCAATAATATTGTTTCTAAATTTTTAAATATTAAAAAAATTGTGTTCGTATATACTATATTATATATACCTACTGTATTGCATACAATTGTCAATATCACTGTCATATTAGTTATATTAATATTATTAATATTATTATTATTCAGTGACCGTAGACACATGTAGTACATGCCGCACGTGGTATATAATAATATCTGTCAGTGATTGCAGTTCAAGGTTTGAATTGCATAATGTTCACAATTAAAGTGAAAGTGTATACATTTAGAAAGGATATTTCCGATATTGTTCAACTTAGAAATGAAGAAAAAAAAATTGCTCTTACAATGTCACGGTATGCAGATTAGTTTGCTTGGATGTGTACTCAGAAATGCAGTTTACACTGTTTGTTTTGCATTAGACTAATGTGTGAAAACAAATACGTTTTGTTGAAAAGCCAATAGAGAAAAGTTGGTCATAAAAACATAGAATATAAGTCGACAAATCGTTGTTTTTTTTTCGATGACGAAAAATAAAAGTTTCTCTTCAATAAATAAGGGTTCAAATATAATATGTTCGATGCAGTGATTATAAACCTATATAAAAACAAAACAAAATTCCACCGTGAATGATTTATTAACTTGAAACAAGATTAGGGATTTTTATTATTATTATTTTTTTAAAGAAAATATTTAAAGTGTAATCATTCATTTTTTTTTTTATAACTAGTAATTTTTGTAAGTACATAATTTTAAAATAAAACTAGTTTGTTTGTTCAACTGATTTATTTTCGTTTTTATAGCAGCGGTTAATTTGGGTTTCAAAACGTTATCTAAATGGATCGTGTTTGTTTGGGCCTTGGTTATCGAGAAGCCCATGTTAAAACCAGAACGCGCGCGCGTATGTGCACACATTGTAATACATAGGTGTACATTCATGTAAGTTGTGTACACGTATGTATTATATGCATATTTTGTTGTTGTTGAACAAAAAAAAAAAAAAAACATTTTTGCAAACGGTCCGTTGTAAGAAACAGGTCCTTAACCGAAAAGATAATACTGCGTTTCGGGTCAGGTAACAAAATGATAATTATAAGATCTTAATCCGGCAAAAATCCTCGGTTGGCCCAGTAATAACCGTGCGTATCATCGTGCATTATTCATGTACATTACTTGCTGGATTTACACGCGACGGACGCACAATGTTCGTACGTCAGTTTAGCGGACCGGCGGGACGTGTACGCGTCGTGGTGTAACGAAGACGATGGAACGTGGTGTGGTTCACTTTGCACACTCGGTGGTCACGATAAACAATTATCGCCCACGGTTTTTTCAATTAGAGCGGAAGAACATTTTAATTACTAGACATGCGCGGTAACGGCAACTCACTACGACGGTGAGTTGCGGTAAAATATTACGCGTACGCACAAAGGTGGTTTGTATATTATCATACATGCGCGTATAGAAGAGTACAATAATCTGAAAGGGACTAGGACGGCAGGGATGTGGTTGAAATTCAGTAACAAGACCGATCTTCCGCAACGTATTCGTGCGCACGTGCCTGTGTTTTGGAACTTTTCGTGTCACCTCGTACGGAAACGCTTTTGTAGTCGTCGCCAGCAATTTTAATCATGTCAACCCCGTGGAACGGAGAGGGAAATCTGTTGACCTGTAAAGTACCCGATTGACTTTTCTATTTCAAATGCACAAACACTCACATACACTTGTTACGTATACGTGAGTACGCGGCTTTCTTATTTCTAAAGAAACTCTGCACTTTTTCATGCACCATATATCTACGCAAATAACTACGTTCGGTTGATCGTATTCAATCCGCTTATTTATATTGAATAGGTTATCGCGCAAGGGTACAGGTACCTACAAAGTCACGCCAACAAGAGCTTTTTTATTTTTTCTCTCTCCATATTCAGTCGGTCTCGCACAAGCGAACATATTTTAATCGTTTTATTAGAAAATCGCGAACTCTCTATGCGCACGGAACTGGATTTACGAAACGTTCGCATGCGGATAAAACATCTAGATACTGGTAGTCTATTAATTTATCTTTATCATCTATTGTTCTATACATATATGTATATTATAACTGTCGTTATTATTGTTATTTCCATTATTATATCGCCGATAGTGATAACGGTAAACGTCAGTGAATTGTGCATATTATCATAACAATAGAACTTTGATTTTATGTATTTTCCTTTATTCGTTTTGAGACTGCTAGAAATTTTAATAGGAAGTAGATTTGGACGAACGAATAAGGATACCCACCACTCACTCCCGATACCATATGTGTGTGATGTCTTTTATATAAAAATTGTATCGATAAAACTAAAATGGAATCATTTCTAACTTAGGCATCCTCACAGCATATTACACATTCAATTCGAAATCAAATGTAGGTATTTTCCTTCATACATTGTAATAATTACAATTATTGTTATGTTATTTATTTCTCCATTGGTCTATAACAAACAGTGTGATTATTAAATTAAATAAAATTATATGGTTAGTTGTACAATAGTTCTGCTGAAAAAAAAATATTACAACGTTCATTTGAAAATAGTTATTTGTATTCTTACATCTATAATAAAACTTATTTGTGAATAATAATTTCATTTTAATTATAATCAATTAAATGTGAAATCTACGAATCAAAGAATAAAAAAAAATAACAATGAATATAACATATATTCTAAATTGTATGTAGTATTTATTAACTAAATGTATTAATAAAATCTGAAATTAGACTTTTTAAAGTCTTGAAAATAAAAGAAAAATGCTTTAAAAAGCTTACTGATTAAATAAAATAAAAATGAATCTATTAAATAGATAAGACTACATTTTATTTACCGAAATATTTCCTTCTAATGACACGAATGTTTGGATACTTAGAGATTAAAAATGGTTTTTATAGACTACAATATCAAGTGAACAACAATTTATTTTAGTTAAGTATATACATTCTATGCGTAATTGATTCAATAGTTACACTTTTTAATCTTATTTTTTAAACCAAGTAGTAACACAGTTAAAATACCGGGATTTATTTGGAAATATCCTTGAAACTATACATTTCAAAACTATTCTTCTCAAGTATCTAGATAGTACTTAGACAATTTTTTCTGAGTAGTTCAACGATCAACGTAGTAAAATAAAAAAATAAATATTGATTTGATAGTTGGTAATAGTTAACAAGGTTGGCCCAAATCTGACTAGGGGAAATACTGTTGTAAATAATTTGTTTTTGTATAGGTAGAAAAATTTTATTTTTAATTAAAACTTGAACTAAAGATATTTAAAGTGTTATAAGTATTACTAAATCTACTTCAATCAACTATGATTTAAATTTAATAATCTTTTTAACTTAATTGTTTTTCTTTAAGTTGGATTTATAAAAATTTAAGATGCATGTTAATATATTTAGCTATAACAAAGTTTTATATAAATATAAGTACTTTTTAAAACTATCGAATAGTTAATACCCAAATTTACACAAACATGTAGAATTAAAATCACACTGATTACAGAATTTAATCGTTCATCTTCAATATAAATTAAACTACAAGAACTTCAAAACCAAATCTAAACGACATATTTTACATAAGAATACTAAAGTTGGTAATTCAAATTGAATATGTTTAAAAAAATATTCATTTTGGTTGAAAATACTCATACATCTGAAATTATAAATATGTAATATTATATTTGTTCTGTAAACAATTTGGATTACATCCATTATAATTGAATATTGTTGATATAGTGTAAATTTGCACTTTACCCGTAAGGCCGTGGCATGCATACATATGTAAAATAAAAATGTCTACGAAACTGTATTTATTCAATAAAAAACACAATTTTGCTCTCTATTTTAAGATATGCACAGCATATGTACAATACCATTTGTATACTTGAGCATTATAAATTATTTCATTGTAATAATGCATAATAGTGCACAGACGAAAAATTTTACAGTAGGTATACATAATATTAGAATGTTGAGTTGGTTTTACTGTTACATCGTTACTTCTGATATCTTATAACAAACCTCGTCATTGAAAAATATTAAAACAACAGTCGACGATGAATTTTACCTTGCACGTGGTGTTTCGAACATGTTATGAAATATGTATAGATTCACTCACACGTATAATTTATATTTTTTAGTTTGCTCATATTAATTATTTATTTGTGATTATTTTTGTTTTATATTTTTTTATTTTCCGGTTTTTGATTTTTCACATAGTTCCTTACAGTAGTCGGTGTCAAAAGTCATTAGACTTCCAGTGGTGCACTACAATAACATAGCAAGGACGACGACGACGACGGAGACCACGCGGTGAACGGAAATCGGTACAACGTTTTTACTATCGTAGAGGTAGTCAAACAACTTTATAACACACAGCTACAGATGTATGTTTTCGAAAGTTAGAGGGCAGTTGGAAAAAACTGTCACTTTCTGATACTTATTTTATTATTATATTATTTGCAATTTGATATAAACTAATGTTGCAAGTACTCATGCTGATATGCGTTGCAATAACTAAGAATTCATAAACACGTTTATGCAAGGAACACATTTTACAGTATTTACAAGCGCATAAAATGCTATTATAATCAGGTACTTCCGGGGTTGTAAAGATTTGCCAATCGTTAACCTACATCTATTCGTATTAATGCAGCAATAATGTGCAAAGACTTTT